ACTTATATTACCAGCACTGATCTTACTACAATACAAAAAATTAATGTCCGCTTTCCTACCAACTTTCCCTCATCCTTTCCTCCAACTTTTCCTTGCCCCTAACTATTAATCAATTTTTATATATTTGAAGTTGCCCACTTGTTAATTTATAAATATTCCTATTATCTTCCGGTGGTAAACCAACATTAAAGGCTTGTAATTTAATGTTCTCCAAGACAGACCTAGAACAGGAAGCACAATGAAAGCAAGGAGCAGAATAAACTCCTCTCTTGTCCTTTTCAGAAATTATTAAGTGAATAGATTGGTAATTAGTTACTTCGGGATCTAACTCATAACAACCTTGACAAGGCAGATCCAGTCCATCATAACCAATGGTTATTTTTGCTTCTTTTGTCATATTTCTTTACTTGGTCTTAGTTTCTTTTCCTCTTCGATTTGTTTTCAAAGGTAATTTCACTCCGCACTTCTTTCCATTGAAGCAGTTATGCCATTTTCTAAAATAGAAAAGTTGGTTAGTTCCTCCCCTATTTCTTTTAACTTAGCATTAGCACAGGCCTCGCAATAAAACTCAGGAATAATCTCTTCTTTTAAACCATTATTTTTATAATCAACTATGGTTAAGTAAATGGATTGGGGTTTGTTATCATATTTTTTAAGGGATATTTCTTTTCAGTATATTTTAGCACAGCCCAAACAAGCTTCATTCATATTATGATATCCTACTATACATTCTATCCTTTTTAGCATATGTTTATAGTCCCTATTTTATACAATCCAAAAACTCCTCCTTGGTTATTTCCAAAACCCTATTTTAAGAATGTGTCTGAACTAGTTAAAAAAAGGGGGAGTATATGGCAATTAACCAAGAATTATCACAAAAATTAAAATACATTGAAAGACTGACAAATCATCCTAATTCTTTTTCCAAAGAAGAAATCAAGAACCAACCAAATGATACCCCTGTTATTAAGGCTTTGAAAAATAATATCCGAACCTCAGAAATTATTAAGCAAAAAGACCAAGAAATCACTACTCTCAAACTCCAACTCACCCAAAAAGAAAATCAGTTAGAACAAACCATTAAAGACTTTCAAGAAAAAGAAAAAGCCAAGCACCAAGAATACTTAAATATCCTCACTAAAAAAGACCAAGACTGAGAAACTAAATTGGAACAGGCTTTAAAAAAACCTGCTACTGCCACTATTGGAACCCAAACTGAATTAACTGCCGAACAAATTAAGCAATCAATTAATTAGCCAATCCAAAACCTACGAAGTAGAAATGAAATTGTTTTGTGAGACTGATACTG